ACAGTCATCTGAATGCGAGGGGAATTCAGTCAAGAATGGAGCGTTAGCAATACATTTTCTTGAAACGTAAACATACCAGCGCATAACGCATTGTGATGTCACGCGAGTGCCAAGATTGCTTGGTTACAGCGCGCTGATTGGTTGAAAGTTTGCGCGATGCGCTGGTTGCATTGTGAAGTCACTGTTAGTGTTCGAAGAGTTTACGCATTCTTTGGATACAGGAGAGCATTGTGACGTCAGCTTGGCTACTGTGCGCTGATTGAATGAAAGTTGCGATCTGCGCTCGGTTCATTGTGACGCCTCATCATTGTGATGTCACGAAACTTCGAGTTTGGTTGGTTACTGAGCGCTGATTGGATGAAAGTTTTTACGAGGCGCAGCTTTTTGTGACGTCATATGTACACCATTGTAAAAGCCTGTAAAAAAAGTCATAAATGTATTACGCATATTAGTAGAGGCGCGGTAGCCTGGAGGAATCTCTGGTTTGTTTCCAATTCGTTAAAAAATAGCGCATACAGATACAGGGGAGGGGAGGGGGTTGGCATTGTGGACAGTTGAAAGGATAAAGATAACGATCTAGGGACCGTTTCACGAAACCGTTCAAAGTTTTACTTCTTGGACATCCTATTGAAATAACGTGTGTTATAAAATATTAACGCTTGCTATGGGATGTCTACGAACTTAGACTTATGACGGTTACGAGAAACTATACCCTCCACTTTTTAACTCGCTTCGATAAAGCAGTAGTAGTAGTAGTAGTAGCTGCCTGTCGCAAAGTAACAATGACCGCCTTCACTTTCACTTTACAGCTGTTCTCCATACAGATCGCTGGCCTGCAGTAGTTGTCCAAGACAGTCTTGATTTCGATTTGCCTCCGCTTAGGGCCAAAAAAAAAAAAATTATTTCACATACATTGTAAGAACAACAAAAATATAATTTACTCATTCGCTTTATCTTCATTCTGAAATACGAGAATATGTTTCGCCTACTTTCGTAGGCGGTCTTGATCGAAGTCTACGAATGCAACCTGAATGGCAAACGCTCTTTTGTGTACGTGCGGAGCTGCGCTCTGACTGTGTGCGCCAGAGGTCAAAGTCAAAGACTCATGCATATTCATATCCTGTTTGCCATAACGATGCCATGAGTCTAACTAGCAGTGCTTCAAATTTGACGTATTTTACTCTTTAATGGTCTTTCCTCGAAATAAATATTTTATTAACATTAAAATTCATATTTGTTATATCTTTTCGTATTAGAATATTTGTAATTAATATTTGTTATTGTAGAAAATATCAATTTATTAAGCATAGATTGATGAAGGTTTAATGAATTACTAACCATAACAAAATGGTATCTTGACTTTTTGATATCGTCTTCGAAATCGCTAACTAGGCATACTTACCTGGCGCAGGGGTTGCATTGATCAAGAAGGATGCACCCCCAGGGCGAGGCTTGCCATTGCACTCCGGCTTGCTGAATCTTGCGATTCCCCCACACGTGGGGAACTCGGGCGTATAATTTATGGTAGCGGAGATCTGCGTTCGCGCTATCTCCTACATACTAAATTGAAAGAAAGAAAAATACTTGAACACGCCGTCATTTTGCTAGAAAACTTAAGTATAAGGTTATACGAAGGAACCTTTTGAGTCTCGTATCAGAAAATAACCCCCTCAAACTTTATCCTTGACGGTCCAGAGGGTGTCTCACAAAGATCCTAAGTAGAATCAAGCAATTTAAAATATGTTGTCTAATTCTCAAACATAAATGTACTTTGTAAACTTTTTTGATTACGAACATACTTGTCAGTATTTTGTTACTTGTATAATTCATTTGTTCTATTATATATTGTATTAATGTATGGCTGATATATGTCATCTAATTTGTGGATATTTGAGTGGAAAATAAATAAATCAAATCAAATCAAATCAAACTTATTTCCAAGTTTGACTCAACAATTATGAAAAGCCGTTAGCATCTTTGAAAACATTTTGAATATCATAAAATAATGATTCAAATCATTCATAATTTCTATTATCAAGGAGATTTCGTGATCTTGATGTGGAATTTACGAAAAGTCTAAAATACTTCAATTTTTGCTTTTGAATATATCTTATTTTAAGGCTATTATGGCTCTCCAGTCTCCATAATGTTTGAGTCCAACTTGGAGTTAAGCTCGACTTTGGATCTTTGTGATGTGATTTCCTTGAAACCTAAAAGATCCGAACCATTGGTCAAATCTAGTTTGATCTTGTCTAACCGATTCGAATTTAAATAGAGCGCCATTTTTACCTTTAAAATACACGACAGTAAAGATGCACCTCAGATCATGTATTCCCATTAAAAAGAAATAAATGCACACAAAATATGCAATCAGAGGGGCCAAACCTGAAAGATTGCGACTTCCAAACAGCATTTCTCTTTCATAGAGGATTTACAACGGACACAATTTTATTTTATACAAGTATTTTTGAATAAGCTACAATCACGTCATTTTTTACACACGCCTGTCCGGTCGGCATCGTGAACGGACGATTATCACTCATTAATGTGTACTCAGTTTAGATATCAAGTGCCCTCTGTTGTTATAATGTCATTGTGTTCCATGTTATCTTTTCGAATTTTCATTTTGTAAGTTTTAATTGAGAAAAGAGGGCAAGCTAATTATTTCTCGCGACTACCAGACTTCAAGAGAAGAAATGCACAAAACACGCGAATTTTTGTCATTCTCAACTCTGCTTTTTTTTATAAATTCATGGATGACAATCAAATTATACGTTTCGGATTGCACGTAGTAAATGCTCGAGGAGCATTTGGGCGATGGTATAATTATCAAGACTGCTCTCAACTCAACAAGAAAGGCCTTTCTGAATCGACCAAAGAATCGTTGCCTTCTCACTTCGCATTGTTCAGCAAGCGGTATGAATATACATCTCGATTCAAGAGGAGGAACTTAATAAGAAAGAAATACATCTGTAATGATAATGGTAGTGACTAAAAAGTAAATAACGAGAAAATGCACCAGGGGGGGGGGGGGGGGAGGGGTGTTTCACAAAGATCCTAAGTTGAACTTATCTCTAAGTTGGACTTAAAAATTATGGAAAGTCGTTAGCATCTTTGAAAATATTTTGTAAAAGTTTTTTTTAAGAGGTATAAAATGTTGATTCAAATCAATCATAATTTTCTATTATTAAGGAGATTTCATGTTCTTGATCTGGAATTTATAAAAAGTCTAAAATACTTGAATTTCCGCTTTGAACATATTTTATTTCAAGGCTACAAATGGCTCTCCAAAATATCTAAGTCCAACTTAGAGTTAAGTTCGACTTGGGATCTTTGTGAAACACCCCCCTGATGGGTAATGCAACCCTGACTGTGGTGATGTTACAAGATAATGCCCAACTTCTGCCCCCTCCTTATGTTCCCCCTACTTATTACAACCCAAAAATCCCTTGAACATGTTGCAATACCCCCAAAGAATTATGAAAATGAACACTAAGCTTCATGCCAGGAGGAACCCGGATCATAAGGGCGGATGACCCTCTATCGTAAAAAGTTTCTCTGATTATACAATTATGGCAATAAATATACTCATTGTCGATCATATTTACTTTTTTCGGAAGCTCTTATCTTTAAAATAAAAAAGACAACGAGTTGTGATTTTTTAAAACTAATCCAAATGATTTCGTCGGTTTCAACCCTATACAAGATATAGACCAGTTTTGGAAACGCCCCCCTCCCTCTCAAAAAAGAAAGAAATGGAAGCTCTTATTACCAATCATGTGAAAGAATATGTTTTGACTAATACGTGATGATACAAATTTTGCCGGGAAACCGCCTTTACTAATTTGGTAAATTATCATAATCGATCCGGCCTGGATAGATATCGCGAGTGCACTTCACCATTGAACATTTGGGCATATATTTCTGTTTTTTTTTGTTGCGAATTTAGGTTGAAGTATTGCCATCTAAACCTCGGAAGGCAATATTTAAACAATATTGAATGGATATTTTAAACCCAAAACCCTTGAACCGCAATTTTACCACTACCGGCAATGCAATGCGAAAATGGGCGACATGATAATGCATGATCTCGCATAATGCTAGTACCCCCTCTCGAGGCGAGTTTCGGGCAGGCTCTGAGTAAGAAAAAGCAGTGGGAGGGGGAGGGGGAAGGGGGGGGGGAGCAAAAAAATACCCTGTTCTGAGCGTGATATAGATGATTTATTTATCTATCTATCTATCTATCTACCTATATAATTATCTACCTATCCAAGTTCCCAACCATCTATCTATCTATCCTTTTATCTGCCTAATTACCTAATTATCTATCTAGGTCTATATAAATATCTATCTATCTATCTATCTATCTATCTATCTCTATATTTACTTACCTATACTAGTATATTTATCCTCCTATCCATATTCATATTCTGATCTATCAGTCCGTCGATTTATATCTCAAATATAACACACATAATGAATAACTACATAATAATAATATGCACCTTTCTATTAGCACAAATATGGGCCAGTTAATTAAAGTAAAGTCATATTTCTTACATCAGTATCCATGTAATCAGGAAGCTTCCTGATTTAATTGTAGTTTACCTTACGTTTATTTTTGGAAACTAGGAAACAGGCAATGTTGTTGTAAAGTTGGCCACATAAATTAAGAGGTCTCGATATCTCTCTAATCATGTCTTCTTGTCAAAAAGTCAACAAAGACTCGTTCATTATTCATAAAGGGGTCTTTATTTTGTTTTACTTCAGCAGCGTTCTAATTTCGACAAAAAAAAAACGATGTAGAGTTTCCTGAAAAATGCATATAATTATTTGCCCTTAGATTGTTGGCCTTAAATAAAACTTACATTAAAAAAAATAAAAATAAAATAATGAAATGGTGGATTTATCCGATAAATATGTACATTTAGTTCGTAGGTATCCCTTCCACTTATGAAAAATGTAGTCGGCAAGTAAAGCCGTGGAAAGTTTGCGACCTTGCATGCATTTACGCAACGTGCATGACGTTTACGTTATACACAAGTGAAGACACTGTAATCGAAAGTGTGTTGCGAATCTGTACTGTGCATGTACGGCAGCGGTGTGCTATACCATTGAAAGGCATCAGAAACAGCCAGCCTGGAGAAAGTGGATCCTGCTGCATATATTCAGAAGGTAATTGTCAAAATTACAGCTTTATTTTATATTTAGAAGGATGTGTTGATGTGATTGTTATGTTATTTGTGCGTATTTCGAAAGTGAGTGAAATTGCTTTGTTTGATGTCTAAGATTGAGTGTTGGTGGGTGACCTGCGGTATTGACCAAGCACTCGCAGGAGTAGTGTCGGCGTAGAGGAGCGTCCTTTCTCGGCGCTTCATTCATTATTCGTGCGATCGCATCAATGCCAGGCCAGCCGAAAAGCCTCGCGCTTTGTCGCTGTTGAAATAGGTCATTAGCCATCCTGGTATTTTATAATTGAGTGCCTGATAGCCATGTTTTGGAGATGTGGAATGGTTTCACTTTTATTGTCAAAATATAAAAGGTCAGGTTTGTCGCAATTGTTAAATTATTATCACCAGCATCATATCATTGCCGTCGTCATCATCGTCATAACTTTCAGTCACCATTGTCATCGTTGATCATCTTTATCATTATCAACCTAATTATCATCATAGTTTTTATAATTTCATCATCAGCATTGTCATCATCCTCCTCCCCCTCCTCCTCCTCCTCCCCTCCTCCTCCTCCTCCCCCTCCTCCTCCTCCTCCTCCTCCTCTTCTTCCTCCTCCTCTTCTTTTCCTCCTCCTCCTCCTCCTCCTCCTCCTCCTCCTCCTCCCCCTCCTCCTCCTCCTCCTCCCCTCCTCCCTCCTCCCCTCCTCCTCCTCTTAGCTTTCTCATCACCATTACTTTTTCTGTGCACTGGTCCTTTTTATTCTTCTCCTCTCCCCTTCTCCTGTTTTCCTTTCTTCTCTGTGTTCTCTTTATCTTTCTTCATCTCCTCCTTCCTCCAATGTCATCTGCCATCTGCCTCCAAGAGAAAGGGGCGAAAGAGAATGAGAAAGAGTGGAATGAATTTGACCCAGCACCACGTCAAAAGCACCAAAAGGTTACCAAAATGTCCTTTTAGTTTATCTTTAATTCTGGAAGAGGAGATTCTCAGCTTTAAATTGTAACTACTTATTAGCAAGAAAGAGAGAGAGAGAGAGGGAGAGAGCAAGAGAAAGAGAGAGAATTAGATAAAGACAGAGATACACAGGGAGACAGAGAGAGAGAGAGAGACAGACAGACAGAGAGACAGACAGAGAGAGAGACAGACAAACAGAGAGACAGACATACAGATTAAGAGACAGACGGAGAGAGAAAGAGAGGGGGAGGTAGAGAGAGAGAGAGAGAAGGGTGGGGGAGTGTTGAGGGAGAAAGAGAGAACGGTGCAGTGCTGAAGAGGGAAGGGGAAGTCGTCAAATTATACAAACTCTATTGGGAAAGTGATATTTGAGATTAGAGGTTCAAAATTAAGAAAATAAGGAAGCAGAAAGGAGAGAAGAAATAAAGATGAAACTTAAGTATAAAGATAAAAGATTATCCAGAGAGTCATCGTGATTCGTGAGAAAGCAAATATTCCACAATTAAAGAAGAAGGGAGCAGAGATTTAAAAAGGGGTTCAGGAGATCCCAAGTGTGGCCATATGAGGTTGAGACTTGAGAGGAAGGAAGTATCGTCTGAGCTGCCACTAAACACTGGATTTCCCTTCGCTTAACAATGCTGAGTGAGCGTTGGATACGAAACAAAAACAGAGACGTACCGCTGTCATTTCATTTTTAGAGGAGGCCACGGTTTATATTTTCAGACTATTAGAATCACTACATTACTGTGTGTGTTTGGTTGTGTGTGTGTGTGTGTTTGGGGGGGGGGGGGAAATCTTGTTTCTTGTCACAATTTTTTATGCACCCTTCCCCCCCCCCCACTCCAATGGTCTGATAATCATTTGATGATAATTAATATTTATGATTATGTTCACAAAACAAATGGAAATTAAACCAAACAATTATTAGCCTAAATGTTCATTAGACCAAATGACATTAGACAAACTGATTATGAGACCATATGGATAGTAGACGGGCTGGGTGTAGACCATATGGGAATAGACCAATTGGGAAGTGGACGAACTGGTTGTAGACCAAACGGCAATGAATCACTCCACTGATTTTTTACTTTTCTTTTTTGTCTCCAAGACTGATTCTGTACTATTCATCCTCCTTGATGAGACTGCAATATTTGATTCCCCAGACTGCGATATTTGATAGTTTCTTTCATTTTGTTCCCTCTCTCTTAAATGTCTTTATGTCATCGGACTTGGATCTCATGGTTCACGGTTCAAGTCCCGTCACGGCACTAATGCCCCTCTGGCAAGACATTAATCTTCATTTACCACTCTCCACCCAGGTGAATGGTAGCCATGTCCGAGGCATGTCGGTAATAATTGTGCCAGGAGTGTCAAGTCTGACAGACAAGAGCACCTTACAAGAACCCACTATCATTGTTGTTGTTGTTGTTGTTGTTGTTGTTGTTGTTATTGAATCCCCCGGCCATATGTCAGAGGATACTTTGGAATCAGCAACAATTGGTTTTTGTTAAAACTAGCTCTTGCCAAAACAAGTTCACTTAAAGGAAACCGAACCCCAAGTAATAACTTTACTTATTCTGAGAGAGTTATTATGTTATTATTACCCATACATCTACAAGATTCCCCACCAAAGTGTATGAGAGAGGTATAAAGCAAAAATAAAGTACAGTTTCTCAGCACGACATGGGCATCACCATTTTCTTGATAATGTGACGTACTATTCCGAACTCGTTTATCAAGTAAATGTATTCAAATTTATGGATGCTTCTTTCCCAGATGTGTGTGGTGATGAAGCATTTCATTCACCTGCTATTATCCTTTGTACTATAATTGCCAGAATGCAAATTGCATGAATTAGTTAGTGCTCTTCTGGGTTGAAGGTTTCTCATAAATGAAATAGATTTGTCAACTGCTATAGTGTAGTATTTATAAATGAATTTGTTACAATTGTGCCCCTGTTATTTATTTTTCACCTAATATAATTTCTATCATCTCAGTTGTTATTTTTTTTCATTGAAAAGTAAAGGTTTCGTTATTGATTTAAAAATTCTTTCAAACTAAAGCTTGGTGCATGATACATGTACAACTTCAACAGATACATTTACGTCACATTTTTAAGAAAATGGCTGCGCCCATGTCATGCTGACAGGCATCACATCATGCCAGGAATATCTTCATTTATATATATCTTGTACATTTTCGTAAGGAATATTGTACATGAAAGGGCAGAAATACATCTCATTTTTCAGGATACCTACACTTATTCTTTGGGTTTAGGTTTCCTTTAATTGATTTACACCCTGGTGTTCACACAGATGAAGAAATCGTTTGTTCTATCCCTCTCAGAGCAGCCATAGAGCATGTTTACTTCTCAATTATGAACACAGTCTCTCCCTCCCCTTTCCCCCTCCCTGTCTAAATGCATCTGTCCACAATAGTTGATAAATGTCAACTGGTGTTGTTTCCAATAAATCTGTTTTTTCCCTCCCCTTTTTGACATCTTTTTTGACAGTTCTACTGCACCAGGATATAGGATATAAACATTGTGGTTTGTTTGTTTGAATCGCTTAAAACAGTAGCTAGGTTCAGTTGGCACTTAGCAGTAAATAAACTTTGTTTCGCTCATGGCTTTTAACATTGAGGATATCTTGTTGTTGAGGACTGCATACATACATGTGGTTTAGAAAACTTACAGTTAACATGAAGTACAAAACCACAAGCGATTGTATGGTTTATGTGAAAACTATGAGCAGTGAAGGTCCTTATGAGAAGTTATGTGCCATGTAGATGCAGTTAACTTTGAGGTTTTGCGGGACTGTAGTGACAACGACTTTTTGCCGGGTTTGTAGTTTAAAACCTTGAGCAATAATTGTTTTGGTGCCGTGTAAAGCCGTTGGTGGGTCATTGTTTAAAAGTTATAGTTTAAAAGAATAACAGTGCCATGTGAACAAAGCTATTGTAATGCCCTAAATGCAGAGGGAAGGGCAACCACTATTCAAGGTGATTGACACTTGTGTCAAACTCCATGGACAGAATTGATAAGATCCTGGAAGATCCTGGAATTATGTGTCAGATTTCTTTGAATTCATTCGCTAGAAAGTGAGATTATCACAAGACCTGTACAGCTGGTTATCGTCATGGAGTTAGAAGCAGAAAAGAGGGAGAATTATAGGAATGAATGGTATCAAGACCTCTTTGCTGTGCTCTTATGGTAGTTCCCATTTCTTGATCATCTTTGAGGGGAAGAGTTGAATGCAGATCGACTCCATGCCCAAAGATTGTAAATGTGAATAGGCTATATAAGGTAAATGCCCCCCCCCAGCCACATCAAAGATGGTGAATGTGAAAGGGGTATATCGGCAAATGCCAGCAAAAAAAATACATCATGCTACCACAAACATAGGGCCTCTGAAATACCTTCTCCCTGTTCCTTTACGCTTGAAACGTGTCCAATTTGCAGGTCTGCTGAGACCAATTTGCAGGCGATCTGTCATTGAACCTTCTGATGTATCTATCCGATGAGAGAAAGCTTCGTAGAATGCCAACCTATATACTTTAGCTGTGTCTGCGTTACAGACTTTGTGTCCTATTATCTTCTCATATTTTCGATAGGCGATTCCTTGCATGATGGTTTGATGGTTTGGTTTTGATTGTCTGTTTTACCTGACTGCTTAGAGAGCATGGGTATGCCTGGTATTAAGCAACCAGGGGACCAATGGCTTTACGTCCTCTCCGAGGGACTTGGTATTGAGGATTAATGGCTTACCAAAGGGCACTCAAGCATCGACTTGGTATCGAACCCGGGACATCCCTGTCACGAGACCACTGAGCCACCACGTCTCCTTAATGTGTCCCATACAACATAATTTCTCTTTTAAAAATTAATTCAGTTTTCTCAGAGGACATAGCAAATGAGTTCCCTGTTAATAAAGTCATTATGGGCAACCCCCCCTTCCCTGTAACGCAATGCAAACCAGGTTTCCAAACTAAAAGTATATGGATCATGATGTTATAATTAAAGGAGATATCTTTTGCCCGTCCTGATGCCAA